CAGCTGTTGCTTCAGACTATTACATACACAAGTAGGCATGTGCATATTACCTCTGACAGCTTGTCCATCCTCCTGGCAGACCATATTTGTTGTTCTACTCTGTGCTTGGCTTGTCAGTTGGTGACTAATGACATGCAAGTCAGGGCATTTCACCATCCTCTCTCTGTTTGGTGAGTGTGACATGTATGTCCCCCACAGGAGACATCCAAACCTTTCTGGGATTCTCATGGTCAGGGAAAGACCTGTGCAGATGCACCAAGAGTTCTCTATCTCAGTTTTTCCTCCTCTGGGGCTCTGTGCACTGCTTACCTCAGTGTGATGTGGACAAAGTCTCCTGGGGTCACTGTGATCGTGGCTATTCCATCTTGATTTTAAAGAAGGGAACACTTAGATAGCAAGAGCATTTACCTGAGACTCTTCTGTGGCCTGCCTTAAAGGGCTGTGTTCCAGTGCTGAGGGAGCTGGGGCTCAATCTGCAGGAGCTCCAGGTCAGCCTGACTTGACCTCTCCTTCCTTTCAACCACACTCCACACAGTAGTTACAATACAGTCCCTTGTACACATTCATTGTACCACTCTTGATTTCCAAGTTGTAAAATTTAGACATCTCAGCTACCCTTCCCTCCAGCTACTCCCCTGTTGCCTAACAGTAGCCTGGTTTGCACAAACTGTCAGCACATGTCTTTGAACTTTCCTAGTTGTCATTGATCTAGTGACTTCTTTTTCCTCACAGCCAACATGAATCTTTTTTTTTCCTTAGACAATAATGAAAATCCCGCTTATTCATGTTCCTGGAGTTTCCCTGATGGTGTTGAATACCTTTTCCCAGTCATTTAAATACTAGAGAAGTAGGTATCTAAGTTCACAACAACATAAACAGGAATTTTAGACTCTGCTGTAATCCTGCTGCCCTAACATGACTCCATGTTTGAGAATTTTCCATGCTTCCTTACTTGTTTTTCCATATATGTTGTAAAGTTTGTATGACTGTGATCCATGTAACTTGTGTGATGTTTTCATTCAACACCATTTTAGAGTTGTTTTTCCATGTCACTATATTGCCTTCAGTTTTAGTATGGTGGTACTGTAGTCATCTCTGGGAGATGGGTGATGGTAGAAAGAGAATGGGATTTGTAGCCAAAGCCACACTAGACTTTAGAGCCTCAACTTCTTTCACCTGCGAAGGAGGAAAAAATATATGCGAGGCACACTGTAGAGTGCCTGGCATTTCACAGATGTGCCTTCTCATTTATTACCTAGCTTGAGTCATTTGATTTTATGGCTTATTGTTTTGAAACTTTTCTGTGACTGTTTGGTTAGATGTTTCCAGGACACCACTCAGCTCCCCTAAACTATAGCTGTCACCTTTGGGTTGTTTGCTGTCACTTCCTAGGTCAGGTGTTGAAAGACAGATATGGGCTGCCATGTTCTTCAGTCATGTGCATGGCTGTTTCAGTTTGAATGGTCATGATGTTTTTATGCTCCAAGACCTGTTACCTTCATTGAAGTTGTCAAGATAGAAAAACCAGGGTTAACAAGATCCCTTTATTTCCTTTATACCTGACAGAGAACAAATTGAGTCATTCAGTCCTGTCACACTCATCTCAAGTTCCTTAATTGTAAACCCAACCCAACCCACCAACCAACCAACCAACCAACCAAAGAAACAAACAAACAAACAAACAACTAACCAAACAAACAAAAAGTCCCCTAACTCCATACCATGCCTCTCCCTCCAGTCTTTGCAAACTAAGCCATCTTGATAACGTAATAGCCTCTGTCAGATACCAGAATGTCCATGGTCTGGAGTATCAGTTCAGAGCATTTAAAATTATTTTATTTGCAGGAGTAATATTTGACATGAAGGGCATGGTGAGGTGCCTTAGTGTCCCCCTAACCTGCATAAATGCTTTTATTTTTAATATGATAATGTGGTGGGCTTTAGAGTTTTGGCCTTGTCTTTATGTCTGCCATTTGCTATTGTTCAACTTGACCCTGCTTCTTCTGCAGGGAGACACACCTGCTTACATTTCATTTTCATGCCAAGTTTGGGAGATTCAAATTGGACTGACTGTCAATGCACACTTTTCTTTAAAGCTAATGCTTGCCATTTTTAGAGCTAAGCAGTTTTTCTTATTTCCAAAATGAAGATTATTCACAACACCACATGTATTGCATGGCCTAAAGATTGTATCTCAGAAGGGGAAATGTAATTTTAAAAGTTTGATTCAGAATTTCTTTTCCAGGTGTGTAACAGTCACACAGTTGTCCATCATCTCAATTTTTAGTATCGTGATAAAATTCTTGTTCTCTAGCACATCTGTTAGTAGTTGCTCCAGAGATCTCTGTGTTTTTAGACAGGGTCTCCTATAGCCCAGGCTGGTCTTGAACTTGCTATATGGCTGACAATAACTTTGAACTTCAGATTCTCCTGCCTTTAACTTCCAAGCACTGGGTTTAAAGGTATATGCTACCTTGCCTGGATCATACTGTCCTATAAACTGTATTGCATTTGTCATTCATTAGTTGTATGTGTACGACGTGTGTCAGGGGAAGGAGGGGAGTCATTCCTAGAAACAAAAGCCCAGGCAAGGGTTCTTCCACACAGCTACATAATTAGCCTGTGTAGGAATTCTTTATTTCAATAGGGCCTTCTGATATATTAAGAAATAATACTTAAAAAAAACCTTTCTCTATGAGTTCTTAAATCAATTGAGGAAGGTTATTTATGATTATTGCTTAATCATCAGCTCAAGAATAGGAACTCTTGATACCATGAAAACAGCAAAAGTCACCCTCCCCATGCAGGCCTGCCCAGACATGTCTCCTTTGCCCGGGTTCTCTTCTTCCACTCTTGAAATCTGGCCTGACTGAAGCCAGGAAAGCAACAGGACTGGAGATGACAGGGTGTGGCCTTGAGAGTCCATGGGACACAGCCAGCTCAGATCTGGGTTTTCACCTTTAGAGCTAACTAACTTCATTGTGCCTCACCGGGTGTTAAGTAGAGTCATTTCTTGCAGGGCAGAGGTTTCTATCACACCTCTAATCAGTTTCCCGTGTGATGATAAAGGCAGTAGACTTCTCTCTCAAACTTGAGGGGGTTGAGCCTCGTGTTTTAGAAAGCAATTATAAAATGACCTTAGAAAACCCCAGTACACCAAATTTCTCATTGAAAAAAAAAAAAAAAAAGAATATTTTGTTTTGCTTCGATTGGGATTCCCACAAGGGCTTATTAAATAGAATTTATTATTTAGATATGGAAAAGGATAATGTCACTGGGAGATCAGACTAAGTTATTGAGGTAAGCAACAGCAAAACCTTTACTATTTTGACATGTTCCAGCAGATGCCGTGAGTGGCACCATGCAGGTTATCAGCACCACAGGGCTGGAATCCTGACTCTCCTTACTGGCTGTGGGTATTCCCTTTGCACCTTAATTTTCTCATCTGTAGAATGGGAATAGCACCACTATGATTATCTCTCTCAAGAACTCATGCAATGATTAAACAACTCAATATTTATAAAGTGCTGAGAATAGTCCTGTGGCATAGAGGAAAGGTGATGAGCCAGCTGTTATTGTCATCACAGATAAAGAACATTTTTATTTGCAAAAACTTAGGTAGCATTTATGATGTAGAACATGAGGTTTTAAAATGCATACTGTGAAATGGCTCAACTGAGCTAATTAGCATACATATTACTTTACATATATTTTAGTAGTAGAACACTTAAAATCTTCACTCTCAAGTAATCAAAACATTGCTATTAATTATAGTCACCATTGTTCCAGTGACTTTTTATTGTTGTGATAAAACATCATAACCAAAAGCAACTAGGGGAGGAAAGGGTTTATTTCAGCTTACAGTTGTAGCCAGTCATAGAGGGATTTGGAGCAGAGGCCATGGAGCAAGTTGCTGGCTTGCTCCCCATGACTTGCTCAGCCTGCTTCCTTATACTACCCAGGACCTGATGGGTAGCACAGCCTACAGTGTGCTGGGCCCTCCCACATCAATCGTTAATCCAGAAGATGCCCTACTGATTTGCCTACAGGCCAATCTGATGAAGGCATTTTCTCAGCTGAGGTTCCTCTTCACAGATAACTTTAGCTTATGTCAAATTTACAAACAAAACAAAACAACCAACACCACCAACCCCAAACAAGCAAACAAACCCCACAAAAAAACCCAACCGGGACAACAATGGTTCTCTTGAAATTATCCCTCTTGCCTGAGAATTTTCCTCTTTGACTACATTGTCTTTATTCTCCCCATTGTCCGTTCATCACCAGTAGCCACCATTCTGCTCATCGTCTCCATGAGTCCTGTGTTTCAGATTTCATGTGATATTTGTTTTTGGCTTGTTTCACTTAACATGTATGCTCCAGGCTAGACATACAATGTTGCCAATAAACTGGCCCAAGGTTCTTCCGGGGAAAGTTGTTTAGCTCTGGTCTCCCTTCTCTGCTTTTAAATGTGTGCCAACCATTCTTCTGTCTCACCCAGTGCACATTCAATGACATCTGGAAATCTCATGAATAATCATTACCCAATGCTGAAAGTGACAAATAGTGCACTGTGTTGGGAAACTATTCCTTAAGAATCATCACTGCTTAAAATGAACTGACACACAAATTAGGGAACAAATGAGGGCATCTAATAGTGAAAACATGGCAATTTTGGGGGGTGTCATGATTGTAATATGCTACAATTCCAAATATGCCAATTTGTAATTCTCTCTGTGTGATTATGTGATCAACTCTTGTCTTCATTATTGGGTTTTAAACTCCACAAGCAGGGGGATTGAGTTTTGTTCAGCAATAAATTCTAGTGACCAACATCTGCTATGTACTGCCTGTTTGAATATAGTTGTTAAATGAATGGATGCATGCACGGCTTGGCAGTAATGATGCTCTGAAAGTCCACTGTATTTAGGTGCTAACCGTGAAAGAAGCCCACATGTAGTTAGTAGTGTTATTTATACTACGTATTTTTACTAAGAAAGAAGCTGGCTGATGGAGAAACCAATGCAAGGACCAGTAACCCAGCCAAGAGGTGTGCTTGAGCAAGGGCCCCAGTCAGGTGAGTCCTAGTTTGGATATGTTTCTATAAAATAAAAAGGGATTGGCTGGGTGGTGGTGGTGCACGCCTTTAGACCTAGCACTTGGGAGGCAGAGGCAGGAGGAATCTCTGTGAGTTTGAGGCCAGCTTGCTCTCCAGAGTGAGTTCCAGGACAAGCTCAAGATCCAAAGCTAAAGAGAAACCCTGTCTAATAAATAAATAAATAAATAAATAAATAAATAAATAAATGGATTTGGAAAATAAAAAATATTATGAGGTGGCTGAAATCTGTAATCTCAACATTCCTACAGTGATGTGGAAGCAGACAATTCAGCTCAGGGATGCATTTCATCAGACACACAGGGACCTGCATGCACACACAAGGCTCGAGCAAACACACACACACACACACACACACACACATCTTTTTTTTTTTTTGGTCTTTTGAGACAGGGTTTCCCTGTGTAGCTTTGGAGCCTATCCTGGCACTTGCTCTGGAGACCAAGCTGGCTTCAAACTCACAGAGATCTGCCTGCCTCTGCCTCCCGAGTGCTGGGATTGAAGGTGTGCGCCACCAACGTCCGGCCTAACACACACATCTTAAAAATGCTACTTTGCTTCTCTTTGTAGCATTTTCCTTTCTTTTTGCCTGCAGTAGTTATGTGGCTTGGGAATCTATAGATGCAGAAAGAGAAAAAGGTAATTGGAGTGTGCTCTCCTGGAAGAAACAGGGATATCCGAAGACACCTGCAACCCAAGCCCTCCTCTCACAGGCTGGGTTGTCATGACATTTCCCAGACTTCTGATAAAATGAAAGTGTACTGACGCTTAGGTAGATATTTTTTTTTTTAAAAAAATAAATGCTTAGTAGTTGTAAAAAAATGAGTTTTGTTTTTAACATTCTCATACATGCAAATAGCATGCTTTTGTCACATTTCTACCCCATTACCCTCTCTTGTCCCTCTTCCACCTTCCTCTTCCCAGTCTTCCAGGTCTTGAACAGCAGAGAGCTAGTGTCAGTAATGACAATTAGAAATGAATGTGACATCTTGCAGAATCTTTACCAAGTAGGTGAGTGGGTGACTTACCTGGCTCCTGACTTGAGCCCCTAAAGCTGATTTTCTCTAACAGTGCTTCTGATGCCTTTATAAGTCAGACTCTTTGGTTACCCTCCTTCTCTTTGACCTTTAGACACCTTCTGATTTTCTGTAAGTCCCAAGGGCACATCTCAGACACAAATGTTCTGCTTTCTTGCTGTTCTTGGCACATGGGGATGTGGCTTCATTGCTGAAAGAGGATTCCTTAGACATTTGTTTTTCACAGAATCTCAATTCCAAATAGTCAAAGAGAGGATTTTCTGTCTTCAATAAGGTATAAATCAATTCAATCGACTGATCAGAAAAACAACAACAACCTATCAATCAAACAACAACAAAATCAAAGAATGTCAATAGAGGGCTGTTCTAAATCTCCAGATGGGATTTTGATACGAGGTATTTTAGTAATTATTGGTGTGGCATTCACACCCAGCTGTTAGGCCAAGGTGGAGGCCCAGTTGTCTTCCGGCAGGCTGCCTCCATTCTAGAAGGTGCCATAAGACTATGACTCTCTGAGAACGAAGACTTGCATTTATTTAATTTTTCAGTTAGCTGATGTTTAACCAGAAGACTGGCTTGTGTTCTTGATGGAAAACTTTCTAAAATTATTTCTTTCTTTCCTTTTCTTTTTTTGTAACAAAAGGATAGGACAGTGGAAAAGTTTGTCTCTGACAGTTAAGAATATTGCAAGTCTCTTGAGATCATTTTCCAGCTACTAAAAAAAAAATACTATAGCTAGAGGGTTGATTGGTTCACAGGGATGTGGTAACTAGTTAAAAATAAGATCCTTAGGGGCTGGAGAGATGGCTCAGAGGTTAAGAGCACTGACTGCTCTTCCAGAGGTCCTGAGTTTAATTCCCAGCAACCACATGGTGGCCCACAACCATCTGTAATGAGATCTGGTGCCCTCTTCTGACCTGGAGGGTTACATTCAGGCAGAACATTATCTGAGGGAGCTGTTTCCATAGTTACTGCCCAATAGAAGTAATTAAAAGGTATGGAACAAGTGCTACTTGAGCTCAGAGCAGAGGGCTATGGGGGTCCTGAGAAAGTCCTAACCATGGCCTGGAACATGGAGCTAGTCCAGAACATAGAGGCAGGAGCATACAGTCTGGTAGAATACACAGGGACCCGGTGTGCACACCTATGTGTCAGGTTGGAGAGGAAGCAGGGGCAGGCTGGGAAGTGCTCTTTTGTAAATATGATTTAGTAACAATGAAACAATCTGATTAGTGTTCCAAAGGTGGGGGGTGGGCATAGGACAGAGCTATGGGAGAGAGATGGCCTTTATTAACTACTCAGCTAATATTAAGAAAAAGCTTTCACTCTTTCAAAATTTTTTTACCTGAATTACAGTTTTTAAAAAAAGATTATTTATTTATTTATTTATTTATTTATTTATTTATTTATACAGTATTTTGTCTGCATGCATGCCTGACTGCCAGAAGAGGATATCAGATCTTATTATAGATGATTGTGAGCCACTATGTGAGTGCTGGGAATTGAACTCAGGACCTCTAGAAGTGTTCTTAACCACTGAGCTATCTCACCAGTCTGCATTGCAGTTTGTAATGCTGTCTTATCTCAAAGTAGGAAGGCATTTTGTTAACATCTAGGAGTCATATCACTATATTTAAATGTTGGGAAACCGAGTACACTAGGCAAGCCTGAGTTAAAAAGAAGTCTTGAAGTTTCTTCCAGTTCATGTAGACCTTACACCCCCACCCCGCTGTGCAACTATTATGGCACGTTTATGATATAATTAACTTGCTGAAATCCATATGGATTTTGTTACAAAGACTAAAGGAATGTGCTTTTCATAACGAATGGCATATGGTCTCCAATAGCTCTCCGCTTGCGTGTTTTAACAAATGAACAAGCACATAAATTAGATGCCTCGGGTCAGTTTGCAAACCAAAGCTAGTTTCCCTTTGCTCTGTTTAATTGAAACTGCATTTCTGACAAATATCAGTGAGATTTCGGAAGGCTGTGGGTGTAAACACACATAGCATGCTTTGAGCAATCTTTTTCTCCCATGTCTATCCCTTTTGAAGAGTCAACATTTGTCCATGTCCCAGTTTATGTAGTAGCCAGATGAACTCTGATTTTTCTTTTAACACAGCTTCATGCTTTTGACTTAAATGATACAGTCATAAAAAAACCAAAATAAAAGGAAACCCCAACCCCCAAACAAACAAACAAACATTATCATCATCATCATCAACAACAAAAACCACGTTAAATTGAACAAGAACCAGTGAGCTACAAGGTCACTTTGTAGCTTTGGAAGTGCTGTCATTCTGGACAGATTTCAAGTGGACAGGCTCCCTATTAATCTCTGGAGTTATTTAGACGCCTCCCTGTTTTAGGTGACAAGCTCTAGAATTCTGCTTTCTTAGTCCACACTCTACCTCATCCTTTTGTTGATTTAGCAGGTTTTCTGATGGAGTCTGAGAATGAGCCCTTTGCAACTTTCACATTATTGTACTATAAAGTCCACCAGTGACTGCTTGTACTGGAGGTCAGTGACATTATCTCATTGGAATTCCCTGGACTCCAAATTTATAAGATAGTCCAAAACTGCTTTTGTCTGTGATGGAAAAATACAGCACAATGACTGTAAGCCAGTTGGTTTATAAAGTATTTGAGGTTCAAATTTAGATATGCATCATACTGGCACATTGTTTGCTTTTAAAAAGTGCTTATATTTATATTCTGCTAATAACATACTTGATTTCATTAAAAGAGGTATATCAATCATTAAAGGAAATTTAAAACAGACACAATTCTGAATTAAAGTAACTAAGAAAAAAAGAAAAATTTAATATTAAGATGTATATATATATTTTCTATTCAAAAGCCCAACTTCCTAGGAATAAAAACACATAATTTAGGATAATGGATTTAATAGGTATAAACCCAATAGTTCAAATAATGAAATTTTAGCATTTGTTTTCTATCTGAAATGCCACAGTGTTTTTGATTTAACTCTAGCCCATCTTATATTTACTACAGTGTATATCCGTTTATGAGCAGGTCATAGCTTCTTCTCTCATAAGCTAAAATCTTCCATTATGCTCTAATTACAGATGGTGGATATGGACGATGGGTGACCCAGAGGCTGATGGACTGGACCCTCACAATGGTCATGGACCCCAGTACTGAGCAGCATGGTGAGGAAGAGACACCCTTCGCCAGAAGCCTAGTTTATTTAGCCCACCAGAATCTCCCTGGCATTTGTCAAAAGCACAGAAACATGGGCAAAGAAGGAAACATGGCAATAATTTTCCTCTTTAGCAAAGTACTTCTTCCTTCCTTTTTTCTTTCTTTCTTTTTTTCTTTTTTCTTTTGTAGTGCTCTTGCCCCAAGCCAACTAACAGACTAACAAATGCATCTTAAAAACACATTGTAGGTTCACTTTATATTTGGGATTCAGATCCCAGTATCTGTAAATTAAGCAGTGTTCAAAATGAAGAGCCTCTCCTCTCCTCTGGAGGCAGAATTTACTATATGGTTACAGAGTATAAAATCAGCTTTTAATCCCAGCACTCGGGAGGCAGAGGTAGAGGATCTCTGTGAGTTCGAGATCAGCCTGGTCTACAGGAGCTAGTTCTAGGATAGCCTCCAAAGCCACAGAGAAACCCTGTCTCGAAAACAAAACAAAACAAAACAAAAAATCAGTGTGTCAACACAAAATCTATGAACAAATCAATGCTCTGTAGAAAGCCAACAAACTGGAAGAGAAGCATTTAGGATCAAGTTTATTTGCTAACTGCTCACTTGGAAGTTGGCATAAAATGGCTATTTTTCTCAACAACTCACTCATGTTAGGTTGACTGCCGACTTGCTGACATGGCTTCATAAAATTTCAGGTAGCTTCAGATGGTGGTGCCAACCTGGCTCAACATGCAGGCACACAGGTCAAAATTACTCACTAGCAGCTGGGATCCCATGGCTGTTTGACACAGAGAAAGAAAATGCTACTTGGCTCATTAAGTTGTCCTGAGTATTGGGACATTTGAATTTTACATTCTAAACAAGTATTGACGATGCCCAGGCGTCAGCGACTATTTTCCTATCTTCAAAAATCCTGCACCAAACTGCGTTGACAATTTAAAGGGGGGCATGACCCAAACCAACTGTAACAGGCTCCCAAGAGAGGTGAATCTTATTGGAGGAAGATGTACATTGTTCTTCTGAGTCCATACTGACATGACTGCACTAGGCATCCGAGGAGTCACTTGCTGGAAGCTGAATCCGAGCCGGGAAGACAGGCAAGGAAAGGAAATACTCACAGAAGTGGAGAGGAGGCCAAGAGATGGGAGGAGGCCATACTGGGACCCACAAGGTAGAGGCAGTGAGTGGGATTCCTGGGTATCGAGTGGTTGAAGGAATCTTAAGAGCAAGTATATTTAATATTTAACAAAGGTGTTTCTAATGGGCACCTGTTCTTAACCTTTGGTAAAGTCAGCCATAAGTACTCATTCTCTGAAGGCTTCCTTTTGTTTTTGGATTGAAAGTTATGGGAAAGGCTTCATTCCCAGGGTGGACCAGGGTTGGTACAAACAGGAAAAGCTTAAGATGACTAGGTACAGGGACACTTGTGGAGCTGGGGATGCCCATGGAACACACTGCTTCCTCCTTCTGCCAGCTCTTCCAGTCTAGTCTATCCCAAATGGCAAGTACCTTGTTGGAGGCTTTGGTCTCAGGCAACTCATGGAAGGATGACCAAATCAAGGAGAAAGTAGATAGCATTGGCCGCTGTGCTTTAAGCAGCTTGGAAATGTGCTTCTTTATTAAGGGGAAAAGTGGTGTAGAAAATTTTGTTTCACAGCACTGTGCTTTTGATCCTAATGTTAATTACTCGTGGCACTCGGTGCTGTTGGCATTTTATGATATGAACATGCCAGTCAGCCAGCCTTTACTTTGGTTTTTAAAAATCAAGTTGAAACTACTCAGCTATGTGTCTAGTATACCAAATGGATCCCTGAAATCTGTGGCAATCATTTTGAAGCCATTTTCTACATTTGCATTTAATTTACCAAAGCCTAATTGAGGATTGCCTCTTTCTAACCATGCCCCATGGAGTGGAGGGGAATTTGTTTGTGTGTGGAAACTTTACAGGAAGTAGTTTTATTGTAGTGTGAGGCTTGTAGACTGGTACCTACCTGTTTAAAGAGGCCACATTTTTGAGCTTGTCATCACTTATGAATAATGGCCATGATATATTATAAAAACCATACCAATGACCGACTGCTTGAACTTGTTTTTTTTTTTTTTTAATGAGGCTGAGATTTAATTGGTTGACATTACTTCTGTGGATGTCCTGGCATTGATAGAGTGAAGCAGGCACATAAAAGAAGAGAGAAACTGAGAAAGACAAGGAGAGGCAGGCTTGTTTTAAGATACCACAAAAGGCGTCTGTCTGGGTCCTTTCTCTGGGAAGCCTTCTGCACTGTTCCTAACCAACATGCCCTGTGCTGACACAGGTGTTAGGAAAGGTGCTCATAGAGAACTTATTTGTTGGAACAACTCCTATTTGGTATGTCTTGATATTTGAGAACCTTCTAGAAGACACTTTTGAGTGTGCAAACAGAACAAGTGCTCTGGCTACTTACCTACATTTAGCCACAGCTATGCCAGCCTCTGAGTTATGGGGAAGGTTGGCTGCCAAGTTCCTGGCTGGTTCTACCTCTGGTCGAGTCTTTACATGCGTCTGTAAATTTCATTTTCTCATGATTCATAGAGCTCACTGTTCAATGGCACATGATTATATTTTTGCTCAAGGAGAAGATGATACAGTCCAACTGATTCCATGGAAATTAAGAATGGCAGTCACGTATTAGGCAATTTTAATCTAAGCAAAGCACAGCCCACAGAACTCTGAAGATGGTTATTAAATTTGGAATGGTATAACTGTAATTTTCAAGGTATGGGGTACCCCACATATGAAAAGTCTCCCCAGATTAGAGGTTAGAGGTGGCCATCCTGTGCCATTTCTAAAGTCTGCTCTCAAAAGCCTGACTCTGTCCTGTATTTGCCAACCTTCATTTGGTGGGATTGTGTATGGGGGAGAGGAGGGGTGGATTCATGCTTTTTGTGTTAGCCTGTATGAAAATTCACCTTCACAAAGTCAGTCCTTTTCTTCTTCTTCAGCTGTCAGTCTGTGGGAGCATTCATTCTCATGCCTGCAAGTTCATATATTTATCCCTCCCAGACTGTCGCCATCCACAAAATAGTAAGTGTGATGTAAACAGATGCACTTGTGGGAGCCAGTCCTCTTCTACCATATGGGTCTTATGAATAGAAACCAGGTCATCAGGCTTCTTGGCAAGTGCCTTTAGCTGCTGAGCCATCTTACTGGCCCCCAATTGGATCATTGCTGAAAAAAAGGAGAGATCCAAGCAATCTGTGGGACTGGATAGCTAAGAGGATGGTGGTGGCCATATCTGCACAAGAATTAGATGAGGAAAATCAGACACAGTAGAGAACAATGATTCAGTTGTGAAACCTGTGTTCCATGTATCTGTGTGAGGTCAAGCAGAGATGGTACTGATCTTAGGAAAGATGACCAGGCCAACCAGGCTTCCTGTCCGGCTTGTTGGTTTCTCTGGAAGTGAGAGTAGGAACATAACAAGAACAGACAGAACACTACAAATGAGTTTGCATGCGCCTGCCCAAGTCTGCTTTCTGTTGCTATGATAAACACCATGGCCAGCAGCAACCTGGGGGAGGAAAGGGTTTGCTTGGCTTATAGTTCCACGTCACATTCCATCACTGTGTGAAGTCAGAGAAGGAACTCAAGCAGAAACCTCGGTAGGTAGGAACTGAAGCAGACACTATGTAGGAACACTACTGACTAGCTTACACCCAGGCTTGAGTTTATTCTTCCTGTACATCTCCATCTCACCACAGTGGACTAGGCCCTCCTCTATCAATTAGTAATCAAGAAAATGCCCCACAGACATGCCCACAGGTCAAGCTGATGGAGGCAATTCTTCAATTGAGGTTCCTTCTTCCTAGGTGTGTCAAGTTTACAAGTTCAGGCCTCACTCTGTGTCTTAGTTAGGGTGTCTGTTGCTGCAAAGAAACACTATGACCAAAAGCAAGCTGGGGAGGAAAGGGTTTATTTGGCTTATGCCTCTAGATCATAGTCCATCATTGAAGGGAGCCAGGACAGAAACTCAAATAGGGCTGGAACCTGGAGGCAGGAACTGATGCAGAGGCTACAGGGGAAGTTGCTTACTGGCTTGCTTCCCATGGCGTGCTCAGCCTGCTTTCTTGTAAAACCTAGGACCACCAGCCCAGGGATGGACCCTCTCCCCCATTGATTACTAATTAAGAAAATGCCTCCCAGCTAGATCTTGCTGAGGCATTTTCTCAATTCAAGTTCCCTCCTTTCAGATAATTCTGGTTTGTGTTTCAAGTTGACATAAGACTAGCCTGCACACAGTACTCATTTGAAATTCTCCTAAAGAAGTTTTCTTTTGCTGTCGGTGGGGACGAAATTGTGGGAACATAAAGCTTCTCTCTGGAACCATTTTAAATTTTATGTGCCAGCCACAGTGAGTATGGTCACTCAGTTGGTGTGCTAGCACAGCCTTCTCCAGGTGCTGTAATCTCCTCTAGCATTTAGTGATGCTGAGTCTGGTGGTGTAATCATCCCTAGCTGTTAACGATGCTGAGCCTATTTCCATGTGTTCATTAGGCAGATGCATATCTTTCTTGAAGAAATATTTTCAAGTCCTCTGCCCACTTTTCAATCAGGACACTAGCTTTTCACTGTTGAGTTGTAACTGTTGACCCTCCAGAGAGTCATAGCTTGTGACCCCTCAGCTCTATGGGCCTATATGTTTTTCATGCACTACATTTGAAGGCGTCATCAGGTGTGTTCCTTCTGTGATGTTATTTCAAAACAGAAAGACCTTTGTAAAGGTTGGGGCAATCTGTTCTCTCATGTCCTTATTCAGCGAGAACTCTTTATTTTTATTATTTACAGCAAACAATTTTCTTTCAGAAACCAGCTCGTGAAAAAGCTGAAATAATATGGGATCCAGCAGAACTAGGCCTGGCCACCTCTGGCCCAGATCTAACATTTCCAGCTATCTTTGCCTAGCTGCATGCTTGAGGTAACATTTTTCACGGGCTAAATCAGTGCATGTGTGTTGTGTCCACATTCACAACTATTTCTGTACTTGGTTGAAAGTTCTCAGAATGACTCTTAGACTGTCTTGTTTACAAAAATACCAGATAAATATACACAAATGCTAGTTGTTTTCCTTTTTTTAAGGTTATATTTGGCCTTAAACTGAGGACAAAGAAGACACAGACTTTAGCCTGTGGTTGAGTCCTCCAGCCCTCACAGCAGCTTGTGCTCCCACCCACTACCTCATGGAAGAGCCACCACTGTGTGCTCATTTGACTATGTAATTTGAGAGGAGAGGTGAGAAAGAATGTGGATTTTCTATTTGTGACATTTTTGTGGTGGCATAGATATTTTCATGAAATCTAGCCATGAAATTTCTCCTCTTCTGAAAAGATAACACATGCGGAATTATTTTAAAGAGTAAACCATTTAACTAACTACTCGTGTGTGTGCCAAATAAAACCACACTCAACTGTTTGAAACTGGCTTAGTTGGCTGACCCAGGGCCAGTAAATTTTAATATGTTTCCATGATATTCAGCTATTTCTACATCAACAAAGTGAACCATATTCCTTAAAAAACGCCCCGGAGGATGGAGTCATGTTTATAGAATCACTCAGTAAAATGTTGCTTTGTAAATGTCCTAAAATCACTTTCATATGTTATCATTTATTTAATCCCAAGGAGATTGTAAGCAATTCACAAGAGCTGTTTTTAATCCCCCTTTATTGCAAAATATAATGGTCTATGTACAGAGCAGGCTGAACAGACACAGCTGGCAGATTGACCTGGCACTCAACAAAACTTACTCAAAACCCAAAAGTTGTTCTAAAGTTTGGGCGGGAGGAAAGGAGCCTTAAACACTTGTAGCAAGTCCATTAGGTAACCAGTCATAATGCATTCCAAAGATCTGAGATGGAATGGTCAGTGAACCTCAGTGTTCTGAGGTCTTAGCTTCCCAAACTGCTTTTTGGTGACATCCTATTGTCTTTCATTTACCAGCCAGCTAAGGAGATCGACATTCATCATCAGCCTGTGGCAGACAGCTCCATTTGCCTATGTATTCTTTCTGAACTGTATTTGAAGCATTGTTTTAAAACAGAAATAGCCCATTTAAAGGCTGGAACAATCCATTCTCTCTTATACATCAAAGAGAGAACTCTTTATCAACAAAATGAAATATAGATTGCAATATTCCAGGATGCCACTTTGCAGAATGGAAGCTCCCACCTAAGTGTGTCTGTTTAGTATCTGAAATGTACCATCCAAGATGATTTGCCCTGTGTATACCAGGTCCACATCAGGCAAACAAAAATGTATGAAATGTATCAATGATTTGAAAATAACGATGCAGTGTTGAAACCTAAAACTTTGGATATGTTGGGCTAGATAAAACATTTGTTATTTAATTATCTTCTTGTTCCCCTTTCCTTTGTAATTACAGGACTGCTAGATGTTTTGGAATGAAGGATGTGACTCACGGTAAACTTTGCTCTGGTACAGTTCCACACCCTAACTCTGTTAACATCTAGGGACAGGTAATTCTTTGTTGCGGGTTCATCCTGTGCTCTGTGGGTAGAAATTTTCACCTCCTTCCATTAGGGAAACTCAGAATGTCTCCAGACTTTGCTCAGTGCCCTGGGGTGCATACAGAAGGGTGTGAAATAGTTTTGTAGAGTCACTCTACTGTGGTTTACTTTATACCAGTATCAAGGTTAGGCACTCTCCATTTCTGTCTCTCTCTCTCTTGATTACTTCATCTAATAGGTCACATGTATTTGTGGAATCTATTTTTAGCCTCACTGTGCAATATATATTCCCACTGTTCACTGGGAACAATTGCTCTTTAACCAGTGAACGTTTTCAGTGCTGGTGCCCACACCACTGTGTTTACTACAGGATGTCACCAAAGGGGGAAAGGGAGCCATTGCTCATACATTAGTCTGTGCAAATTGCGACATCTAAAACTCCATGTCAGTTGTGATGTTTATATATACACAAGCAGAACTCCAAGTCAATCAATCATACAACAGTCGCTGCAGGGACAAAGTCAGTGTCCTAACTGGGGAAGTGTAGAACAGCCGGGGCCCCCTGCCTTTCAACAGAACAAAGAGGCTCTTGCAGAAGCTCACTAATTTTAGACGAAATAGTTTCTTATTTTGGTCACAGCTGTTGACATTCCAAGGGCCTCTTATTCTGCCCGATGAAATGAGGAGGCCCTGCCAGAGGTTTGGTCCTGTCTGAGGATTTGGTGACATCATTTTGAGAATTGCTAGCTGTCGGGAGTATGTTTTATGTATAGTGGATAACTGTTGTAAATGGTTTGACTAAGGATTCTCAAGCTGCCTTTAGAGTTGGTTCTTAGAGAATTCCCTCTTTATGGGAGTGCTTGCCCCAACTGAAGTGGAGAGATCACTTTTTTGGACAGCATCCAATGTCACTGGCCATCTAGAACAGGAACATGCCAAGGACATAGCAAGACTCACTGGCCCCATGCATGTGCCACCAGCACTCTCCTTCCCAACAAAGCTTCGAGCATTTCAAGACTTTGTCACAGTTTACAAGGTTTCAGGGTGGTGTTGCCTTTTGAATAGCAGGGTCATGATGCACTTGTGGCTTCAGAAAGACCCTCCATCTGCTGCTACACATAGATTTCACATAGCTCTGCCAGAGGACCTACCTGCCCCAGGTTGTAATAGACGGTGACTCCTTTCAGTTCCTTTTGGATTACTTACTCCTCAGTAAGAGGAAACCTCTCCAGGAGGGGCTTTCATCACTGACCATTTCATTACTGTAGCTGAGGAACTGTGATCAAACTCAGTTAAATTTAGTTCTTGCACTCCCTCTCCCTCTCTCCCTGGCTCCCTTCCTCCCTCCCTCCCTCTCTTCCTTCCCACCCCCTCTCTCCTGTGTGTGTGTGTGTGTTTATTTTTTAAAGATCAACTTCTACTCCCCCAAAAGCTAAATTATTTGGGTTACTAGAACTCTCTTCTGGAAGGTATGCTAGTTACCATCTTGTTAGCTTGCAGGCTGGGCTTTTACAGACAACATTTATTACCAGGACTTTAAGTTTAGCTGTTTCACTGCGGGCCTCTGGTGACTCTCCTTGTTACCTGTGAAGAAAAATCTCAGGAAAAGCAATATGCAGAATGAAGTCATCTTGACCAGGCCGTCAGAGGCAGTGGACTCTAGCAGTTGTTCCTTTGATTGCAAATTTCAGGATAGCTATTTCTGCTGATGGACTGTGTGTGCAGCAAGGGAAGGGGCATGCCTGGTGAATCAGTGTGCACCAACACTGGATATGTTGTCCCCTGTTCAGGGGGAAGTAAACAATTGTTATCTGATTATTCAGCTTTTCCAGTTGTTTACACCACTGTGTTTCCTATATAGTTAGTCCATTGTATAACTTTTTAATTTCTCAGAAAGCAGCACGTTTATCATGATATTGGAAAAGCAGAAAATCAACAGAGGCAAACTAGGCACATTATAGATTCCAAATGTCTCACTTTCAGAACTTGTAGCTGACAGATTACATTGCCATTGTCTAGACATGGTTTTGAGAAAGATGGAAAAACACAGTGGTGAGTTCTGTCACTGACCTGAGTCATTAGAGTTCTTGTCTTTTTCTCCTGATTAAAAACAAAAACAAAATCAAAAAAACCTTGGAAGCGATGTTCTGGGTTTATCAAAAGAAAACTTATACCCTTTCCTCCCACCAAAGGACACCATCTTTACTGCCCTTTCAGCTACATGAATAAAGTGGGCTGAAAATAGCACTGGGAAATAGTGAGACTGGAAACTAAATTAAGGGATCTTTGTGTTGGGCAGGCTGTAGATCGGTTGTGGTCTAAGACTGGTCATCAGTCCAGTGCGCTTGGAAGTCACTTAACTACTTGGCTATGTGAAATACAATTTTGTGTAATTTTAATGCTTTGACCAATATTAACCTGTAGCTGCCGATGTAAGTTTAAATAAAAGGGTTATAGCAACATAGAACCATTTTACTCCAAATATCATTAAATTACAGTGTATTCTTTTTTTTCTTTTTTCAAAACAGGGTTTCTCTGTGTAGCCCTGGCTGTCCTGAAACTCACTGTGTAAACCAAGCTGGCCTCAAACTCACTGAGATCTGCCTGCCTCTGCCTCCGCCATCCTTAGCATATTCTTTAAGCAAGCAAATAAGCAAATTAAAAGCAGACATCTGTTATGATTGTACAGCATCTACCATTTTTCTGGGTTCTTCTCAATCTCTACAAGATTATAATTTTTTTCTTATCAAACAAAAGTTGACTTATCAAGTACATCTGCATGATGAAAGTGTCTTCTGGGGTTTGAACTGATGGTTTGAACTTTCAACTCTCCTTTGCATGGCCATGGACCACTTCCTATATGGGAGGCTCCCTAGCCTCCACCTTCGCCCAGCATAGTTTTGAGTTCCCTGTGATGATGTGAAGGCCAATCTGAGCACAGATGACCCCCGATATCACATTGCCAACATCAATTTCATAAATGTAAGAACTTTTGTTGGCTCTGTTCCCTGTTGTATAACGGTACCTGGTATAATTGTTCAGTAACTATTTTTTAAATGAATTATTGTTTTAACTCATGGTGGTAGTTTGTATTAGTTAGGTATGTCTAGAAAATGCAGAGAACAGTTTATTCTGGTACTACTGAAGAATTTTGGGAATGCTTAAGTTTTTAGGGTATTAGGCATTCCTTTTTAGCACACTGATTTTGTTGGATTTTAGAACAATATTTTATAAATTACCTAAGAGACTTTTGTGTTTACTTTTGCATCAGTGTGGATCTGGCCTTTGACTCTTCACTCCAAAGAATGTTGCAACCAAAGAAAGAATAAGGAAATACCTATCACAAGGGGTGGTTAGATAGAACTTTCTGTCCCAGGCAGCGAGCTGGGAAAAGAGAGATACTACATGAAAGCACCCAATGTTTTATTGGGCAAGAATTCTGTCCTTAGGATTTATAAGGTGAGAAGAAGCTGATTTGGATAATTATCTATCTATCTATCTATCTATCTGTCACCTGTCTATAAACAAGGTCAAGACTAGTCTCTTTCTCTGATTTTATATGTATTTTTATGTATGTATATATGGTATTTTATATGCCACCTAGTATATAATTTTAACTAAAAGTATTGAAGGTTTTTTTTTTTTTAGTATGAAGTACAGTTAAAGTTTATTAAAACTTAATATACATTTTAGACACCAGGGCTAAGTAAGAAAAAGAGACACTTGGGAAGAAAGTAAGGAAAGTCAAGAGTAATAGTTATAGTTTTTTTTTTTTTAAGTTACTGTCTTCAAAGAAATGCTAAAAAATTTCAATGTGTTTACAGGGTGGGTCCTGAGGTTTAGCTGATGGGATTATAGTTGATATACTAGAACTCTAGGTTATAGAGATACAAGAATTTAGCATATTTTATGTGAACAAATTATCCTTAATTGTGAGATTCCTAAAATCATCTAGGAGACAGTGAAGCTGTCCCTGAGGTCCTATACACACACACCATAAGTCTGATGCATTGTTACTTTAATACTCTTAATATAAACATTATCATCAACAATCTTAACCAGCTGTGAACACTGTGAATTGCAGTATGACTGGTGTGGAAAGATATGCCCATGGCTGCAACAATGGTATAACTATTATGGGGTAACCAACTGCTTTCTGATTGAATTTAAAGTCCAATCCACAGGAGGAAACTTGTAGGAGGAGGCTAACGGTTCTTGGGCCAGTTGAGCATGTGCATTAGCAGCTTCCCTATGAGCCAATCAGAAGTCTGCTGCAAGGCCTAGAGACCAATGACATCTTGATGACTTGGACCAATGAAAGAGAGACAACACAACATTCCAGATTGGCACTGCCCTTGGATCCCAGGATGGGGGTATAAGAGGCCTGCTATACCCTCAATAATGGAGTTGGCCTTTGCTTTTCACCTGGCTCCCAGAGTCTGCACCATTGATTCCATGCCTTCTCGTCCCCCTTTCCCAAGAGGCTACCTGCTTGGACTTGTCCCCTGCAACAGAAACTCATGCTCAGAACTGTAAATTTGGCCAAGAACACATTGTTGGGGAGTTCACTCTTGTTCTACTAAATGAAAATAGTATAAGACTACCTTCTGAATCCATATTTCTGTACCCATAGATTGTTGCAGCTCTCAGACTTTATCAGAAATACATCTTTATGTAGTGGATGGTGATTAATGCAGAAACTCAAAACTAGTCAAAGTGCAGAGAGTGTCAGTAGAGTGCTCAGGCACAAATGGGACACTCAAGGCTCAGGGACCATGTTGGAAGAGAGGGAGGAATGATTTTTAAGAATCAGTGTTTGGGGAGAATCAGACTGAAATAATGTCTCTTCCACACGACTGGACTTCTGTTCTCATGGATTAACAGCAGCTGTGGTTACCCACACAAGACTTGCACAAGATCGACATTCAAGCATGGAGTATGGAGGACTTCATGAGCCTTCTTCTCTTAATAAAGGATCTATTGATGGTAATAGCTTCTGGAGCAAAGGAAGTCAGTTTCTATTAAAGGTGTGGCTCCTAGAAGGTCAGTCCTAGAATAGTAGATGACCTATGCCCATGAGTATACATACAAGCAGGACAAACTGGTCTCAACTGGTCATTTTAAAGAGGGGTGGTGAGAATGTGGGGGTGGCTCTGGGAAGAGTTACAGAGAAGAGTGGAGGGTGAATAAGATGAAAAGACTTTGTATGAAATTCTCAAAAGAATTGATAAAACTATATGGAGAAACAAATATGCCCATATTGATAACATGTAGGGGTAATCCTGTTTAGAAGTAATGCTAACCAAGCCCACTTGGGGCGGGCCACAGATAATACTAACCACATTAAGTAGTTTAGGGGAGCGCACTGGGGCCCCTTCCCTGGCTCCTTGCCACCTGGCTGAGTAGACTTGCGTGAGTACTTTTACTTAATAAACTACCTGTTATCGATCTAGATCTGACTCCACATTGCATTTGACTTTAGTAACAGTCACAGCAAATGTTTATCTTGGCTTCAGCTGGTCTTCAGAGGGGGTTCCCTTTCACTCTCCCCATAATAGCTCTGTTTTTTATACTGTCTCAGATAGTACAACTAACAGTTTCAGTTTAGAGGACACCAACATGCTAGAGTACTCTCCGCTTTGCATCTCAGAAGGCTTCTACATTACAACAGGACCATAACTGCATTTAGCATGTAAGGACCCAGTGCCACTTTGCATCATTACACAGAAATCTCTTATTTGTTAGCACCCACTTCTGAAGCATAAAATAAACCAGCAGGGTTACAACACTATTAGACCTTTTGCAATCTGAGTACTGCAGACCACATACATAACACATTTGTAGAAGTCTCGTGCACAGTAAGAAAATGTTCATTTCTTCAAGGCAGACAGAAGTAGATCAGGGCTTCATACAGCAGGATTGTCCAACTGGTGGGTTTCCCATACAAATGCTACAAATTAAAAATAGCAGAAATATCAGGATTTCATTGGTCATTATGGCATTTTGTATGAAAGAGAGCATGTATTGGCTATGTGGCATGCAAACTTAAACACCTTTAACTCCATAAACTTTTGCATTATGCATAAAGTTCAGACACAGTCCTGCACACAGTCCTACATATATAGGAAAATTAAGTGTGCTAAAATTACCTTTAAATAGATGTTTATAAAATGATTATTTAATAGACAATTAACACAGAGTTTTTTCTCTTTTTTATTAATTTATTTTTACATTCCAATCTCAGTATATTTCCTCTTACTCCCTCCACTCCCCAATAGACAATTAACACAGAGTTTTTTCTCTTTTTTATTAATTTATTTTT